CGGCTAAAGCAGCGGCGGGCGGTGTGGGCGCCCCCACACTGCTCACCCGCGCGGTCGCCGGTGCGAAGGACGTAGGTGCAGGGACCAAACGCCCCACCACGCTGACGCTGCGAGTACCACTCACGGAGCTGCTGAGGGGCGGGGACCTCTCGCGAGCGCTGCTGCTGCTGCTGCTGGTGCTGTTGGCGCTGACCACCCCCAGTGCTGCTCCGCTGGGACGAGCCACTCCGACCACCCCCACCACCGCCACCCCCGCCTCCGCCGCCACCGCCGCCACCACCACCCTCGCCCCCGCCGCTCCCACCGCCACCTCCGCCACCACCTCCGCCGCCACCTCCGCCTCCACTGCCGCCACTAGTACCTCCACTCCCGCCACCACCCCCACCGCCACCCCCACTCCCCCCGCCGCCCCCACCTCCTCCGCCACCGCCCCCGCTAGCTCCACCCGCTCCCTTGCCCCCCTTGCCCCTGCCACAGCGGCGCCTTCCGCTGGGGGCAGACGCCGCACCGACCGACTCTAAACCAACGAGGTCGGCCGCAGTAGCAGAGGCGACAGAGGGTAACAGGGGGGAAGGAGAACACCCCTCAAAGATGGGGGTGCGAGGGTCACCACGAGAGGCCCCAACAGCGACTATGCTCTTCTCGGCCGCTAGCAGGGACTTCTCAAGGAGGTCGACAGTAAGGGTGGTGGGACAGACAGAGAGAAACTGGTCCCTAACTACACGAAGGGACTCAGGGAGATGGGTGACGAGAAAGTAGAGGGTGATGTACATGGGAGGGGGGTTTGCGGCGCAGAAGTCAGCAGGAAGCGCAGCTCGGTAGCGAGTGTCACTAGCGCGGAGGTGGGTAAAGAGGTCAGCGACTGTGGGAAAGGCAGCAAGGTCAGGGAAGAGGTACGGTAGCATGAGGCGGCTCAGTGTAGCCGAGGAAGGGGAGGAATAGCACGCAACTACAGCGTCGTACAAGGCCTGAGCGGTCTTGCACTGACTAAAGTGTGCACGCTCGGAGGAAGGGAGGTGGCGACGCACAACAAGACGTGCAGCAGCATCGCGTGAGGCCCACTTGGAGCGAACAGTGGGGTCAGCATCAGCAGGAGGGGCAGGGACAGCGCCAGAGACAAAGTCAAAGAGAGAAACTTCATCTACCGTATCGCACAGTAAGTACAGCTGCAGGTCGTTGACCCAGACCGCAAAGTCAATGGCGCGACCCTCAGCGTCAAAAGCCAGGACACTAAGCGTGGCCATGATAGCAGCCGACAGTCTCACCGGAGAGGAAGGGTCGAGCCGCTCAGCAGCACAGCAACACGGCAGCACAGCAACTCCGCCGGGCCAGGAGCAGTAGCAGCCCCACAGGAGCAGGAGCTCGGCACCTCAGGCGGCTCGGGCGACTCGGGCGGCTCGGGCGGCTCGGGCGGCTCGGGCGACTCGGGCGGCTCGGGCACTCAGCGGCACGGGCAACTGGAGCGGCTCTGCTGCTCGGGCGGCTCGTGCGGCTCGGGTGACGTGGGGGCTCACGGGCGGCGCGGGCGTCGTGGCGGGCGGCTCACGGGCGGCTCGCGGGCGGCTCACGGGCGGCTGCACGGGCGGCTCACAGGCGGCACGTTGGGCGGCTGCACGGGCGGCTGCACGGGCGGCAGCACGGGCGGTTGCACGGGCGGCTGCACGGGCGGCTGCACGGGCGGCTCACTGGCGGCTGCACGGGTGGCACGTCGGGCGGCTGAGGGCGGCTGCACGGGCGGCACGTCGGGTGGCAGCACGGGCGGCTGCACGAGCGGCTCACGGGCGGCTGCACGGGCGGCACGTCGGGTGGCGCACGGGCGGCTGCACGGGCGGCGCGTCGGGCTGCTGAGGGTGACGCACGGGCGGCTCACGGGCGGCTAGCGGGCGTCGGGCGGCGCGCGGGCGTCGGGCGGCGCGCGGGCGTCGGGCGGCTAGCGGGCGCCGAGCGGCTAGCGGGCGTCGGGCGGCTGGCGCGTCGGGCGGGCAGCTGACGGGCGGCTCTGGGCGGCGCACGGGCGGCTCACGCGGGCTCCTCACGCGCTGCGTAGGGCAGCGCGCGGGCGCTAGGGCGCTAGGGCGGGCAGCGGGGCGCTAGGGCGCTAGGGCGCTAGGGCAGGCAGCGCGCGGGCGCTAGGGCGGGCAGCGGGGCGCGGGCGCTAAGGCGGCGCTCGGGCTGCTGGGGCGGGCGGCGCGCTAGCGGCTAGGGCAGAAAAAAAAAAATTCAAGGTAGTGGTGGTGGGCCCTAAGCACAGTTCCTACAGGGGAACCTGCTCGATACCATGAGAAGAAGTGAACGAGAATGAAATGACTATGAATGAAGTGAGTACATATAGGAAACCCTAATTGGGCTGTACCCCCTATGGGATACCCCACTATAGCCTACACAAGTAAGTAAGCTATAATGTTCTGACAGCTCGCACGCAACGGCATTCTCCGGACTCGGCCTGCCACATAGCCCAGTCATTGCCTTGCGTATAAAATACAACATGTAAATGATATTCGAATGTTAACTCTTTCAGGATTGCTGACCAAGCTTCAAAAGCAACTGTTACGAGTTATCACGCATGTTCGCGCGCCATCCACGATCGAGACATACCAGCCATACCGGCTCAAGTTTCGCAGCTTCTGCACTCAAGTCAAGTTGGTATTTCTGCCAGCAACGGACCTCACGCTGGCACTCTACCTAGTCCACGCGCTGAACAACAAGGCCACCATATCAGCGATCAGCCTCACATGCTCCGCCGTGGCCTTCGCACATCGGATGACCGGAGAGGCATCCCCAACGAACGGCCCGTTCACGCTGCAAGTACGAGAGTTTGCTAAGCGACATGGCTCCCGCCCGACAAGGACCAAGGAACCCGTGTCACTCCATCAGGTGCACAACATGGCACAACCCTTCCTGGAGTCAACGGTGCCGGCGGAATATCAGAAAGGCTTGATACCTCTCTTGATGTTCGCAGCATTCCTGCGCTACTCCGATTTGATATCCCTCCAATGGAACGACATCCAGTTCGAAGGGGCGGCAATGTGGCTCCTAATCCCGTACTCCAAGACGGACCAGGAAGGCAAGGGCACGTGGATCCCGGTCGTGGCGACGGCAGGGCCTTATTGCGCAGTGAGATGCACACGGGAGTTCATTCGCACCGCAGGCCTCGCGAATACGCCACATGGGCCACTGATCCGGGTGTTCAACAAAGGGGCACAAGCCTCGCCGCATGACAAATCGCCTTCGTATACAACCATCCGGAGCTGGTGCCTCGAGGCTTGCAAGAAGGCAGGGCTGGACGCCACGCACATTGGAACACACTCTTTCTGCCTTAGGCATCCCCGACCGGCTCTTCAAACGAATGGGTCGATGGCGAAGCGGCGGCGCGAAGGACCTCTACGCCACCATCGCCCAAGACCAACTCATTGACCTCTCCACCTAGCTGCAGGACACCTCCATCGCCCCATCGCCTGTTAGCCACCAGCACTCATTGGAGAGGCACTGCCGACCCATAATGCAATTGCCTCAGAAGACCCATTTGGAATGAAGCACGCTGCCTTTGCAAGATGGACTAAGCAAAGCTTTCACAATATTATAATATTTAAAAGTGTAACACTTTTTCAAATTTCGCATTGTGAAAGCGAGGACGTGGCCAACGCAGCAAAGGTAGCGGCTCGACGCTACTCACCCTTCTTTTGCCTACAAAAGAGGAACGTGATTTCAGTAGCTCCACCCACGTTCTTCATTTCCAATTTCTAGTTTTACTTTCCCACCACCCACCCCATTGTGTATCATTGATGGACGAGAACGTTGTAACTTCCCATTTGGAATGAAGCACGCTGCCTTTGCAAGATGGACTAAGCAAAGCTTTCACAATCCATGTGCGGTAACAGGAGCTGTTTGAGTTAGGTACGGGACATCAACAGCTGTGTAGCAATAAATTGCAGTCTACTAGTATCCCGTAGAAAATAATAAAAAAAGAGCAAGCTGTGGAACCAGTTTGAACTCTGGTTCGAACTAGAGTAAGGAGGGCTGGGGGCAATGCATGGACTTAGGCCTAGGGAGGGGGGCAATGCATGGACCTAGGGGGGAAAGATGAATTGTGTGGCTGGGCAATGCAAAGACCTTAAGGAAAAGATGATTTGTATGATGAATGCAATGGCACTAGTTCTCACATGGTCAATAATTCCCTCTAATTCATCTCCATGAGCAAATAAATTCTCTTGAAATAGGCTACTACCGTATTATTAATTCTCCGTACTACCACAAATTTAGAGAGACACGCGTCACATTCGTTTACTGTAGTGCTCGCAAGAACATATATGAGTTGACAGACATCAACAACCACCAACCTGGTGGCTGCACCCCACCTACCCCAACTGTCTGTCCTCTTCGGATGCCACCTCTATCAAACCTAGGTCCTGATTTCGATTCCTTGATCCTGATTCGCTGATTCTTGTTCTCCCCTGTCCTGACGGATTGTCTGGTACACCTGCAGGCCAACGGTCTCAAATGCTATGTCACTCATCCATCAAACAGAGACCTGCATTGAGCGCCTGGTTCAATTTCGAGAATCGAGAGGCAATTGGTTGGATGGAGGTTGCTGCTCCTTGGTGTCAGTAATCGTTGCGACTGGTGTCTGTCGAACACGATAAGTTGTCGCGAGCCATGACATCCTGAACTCCCCTTCATTGTATTATTCCTTTCCCTGAGCACCTCCTATCCGTGCTGGAGATTATTCGAGCTACGGTTATTCGACAGACATTCGCGTGTTCTAACTTGCAGCAAATCGTCACGCGAACATGGCTAATCATCCACTATGGAACAAACTTGCAGTGGCATGGCAAAGAAACAAAACCATGCTTCAGATTGCAATCCCAGCGACGATCGCATTGGCTTTCATTCTCGCAGTTGCTTTACAACCGGCGACTCACGGCGCTCCTGAAGAGCTTGCAGCTGCATTGACAGAAATAGATGAATCCGATCCACAAAACAATATCCTGCCTGGCGGTAACATGCTTAACGTTGACGGATTGGGAGTCGATGGTCTAGACGTAGGTGCGGGTCAGCCAGCGACCGGAAATGGAGCGGCTGGTCTCCTTCGCGGAAACAGTCCTGCAGGAGAGGGAACGACGACTCAGTCGCAGAGCGAATCCAGTAGCGGAAAATTGGCAAGCGGGGATACAGGATCCGGTGGTGGTGTGGGAGCCGGCCAAGAGTACACAATGGAAGCCCTTCCCACAGCAAGACAAGTGGAAGGCGCCGCTGTGTGCCACGAAGAACAGTCTTTCTGGGTAAGCAAGCCGCGGCTCTTCTGATCCAACTAACTTAGCTCCTACCTGCTGCGTAATTGGAGGTAACTTCCTTATCCTGCAATTCTTGGGAATTACCGAGAGTGCGCCTCCTTCTGCAAGTGATTTCTAGTTGAGCTATAGTATCTCATTTCTAACTTGGCTGAAGATCGGGTTACCTATTGGTTGTCCTGTTTCGCACATATTAAAGGTACCCCAACCCCTTAACCCTGAATCTTGTTCCAATGCTGATACTCGGTCGAGCTGATTGATTACCAACCTTTGTCTCTCCCTTCCTCCCCAGGTGAACTCGCGCCTGCGCACGGTGGCGTGCAACGCATCGCAGCCGTTGATCACGAATGCGCCTGACATGCTCAACAACATCTTCGTGCCGCTCTACGCCTGCCCCTTCCAGGAACGCCTCGGGCCCTGGGGCGAAGGCGGCAAGGTCAGTCACACAGGGGAGAGGAGGGCTTGGAACGAAATTTGTACCTGACGAGTTTTATTAATTAATATTATAAGAAATTGCTGTCTAAGAAGTGGAGGAACGAAATTTTGAAGATTCAACTTTCAATTTTTGAAACAGCCAGATAACTCACATCCCATTGCATGCACCCTTTTTCTGTCACCATTTTCTCCCCTCTTTTCCCTACCCCGATCCTCTTCCAGTGGATATGTAATGTGCCATCAGCAATCCAGCCCAATCCTATTATCTACAGGTATGGTAACATTTGTTTGTCTTCCAGCCAAGTCTCAATCAAGCCTATCAGGTCTTACATCCATGCGCCACCAATGCTTCTTCCGAAGCACTGAACCTACCAACAATATTGCGTTATCGCGTAGCTCCTTGCGCCACAGAACAGAACTTCCCTAGCCCTTGTCAAGCGCCTAACTGGTTCTCAGACTCCAGTGTTTGAAAGCATGATCCGTGCTTGAAATTATGCCGCATTCTCCACCTCCAGGGGTGCACATATTGCTAGCCTTCTGTAATCAGTCTATTGACTTTCCAACCTCATGTTCCCTTTTGCCTTCCCTTCTCTCTCTGTCCCTTGCATCACCAGCATTCACTCCAACGCAGCGTACGGCTTTGAGCTGGCGGCGTCCATAGCGCTGCACACGCGGCCACATGTGTTCAGCTCGTCGCTGTCGGCGGAGCAGCAGGTGGCAGTGAGGGCGGTGGCGCACGTGGAGTTCCACGAGGCGGGGCTGGCGCTGGCGAAGGACGCCAAGCCCACGGACGTCTCGCTGCCCGACCTGCTGGCTGCGGCCAAGCACACCTACGTGGACGTGCTCTACCTCGCAGCGGACTGCCCCGAGTGTGAGGTTGCCTTCATCCGCCAACTCAACGCCTCCTACGGCTCCAACCCCGCCTCCGGCCTCTCCCGCTCAGGAGGCCTGCTGCCCTTCGGCCAGATCATGATGCTGCTCAGCCAGTAAGTCCTGTCTTGCACCTGTGTCTGCATTTGCATGCACCTATGCCTGCATTGCATTCACGTGGTTACGAGTTCAAGCCAGGCTGTGGCTGTTGCTGTTGCTGTACAGAGAATAATGCCTGGTGGGACGGGGAAAAGGGTGCTGGTCCTGATTCCTATCTTTGTTGAAGTCTCACGTTCAGTATGATGCGCTAGTTTCTTGTGCCAAATTACTCAATGTGTATGTGTGTTCACTTGTGTGTGTGTGTGTACGTGTGTGTGTGTACGTGTGTGTGTGTGTGTGTGTGTGTGTGTGTGTGCGTGCGTGCGTGTGTGTGAGTGTGTGTTTTTGTGTTTGAGTGTGCGTGTGTGAATTCGTGGGAGTGTGTGGATGTATGCATGTGTGTGTCGGTTCATGTATTCATGTGTCTTTGTGCATGTATGCGTCTGTGTCTGTCTGCATGTATGTCTGTATGTGTGTACTTGTGTGCATGCGTCTGTGCATCTGCATTACTGTGCGTCCACATGGGAAACGGCATTGCGCGCAACCATTGATGTGATGCCCTTTTCTGTGCCTGCATGGGGCTGTGCGGGATGGCACTACGTGAAACAGCATAGGGCAGACGCGACAGATGCTAGAGGTGGAGTACACGTTGGAGAATCTGGGCTACCGATTGTTCCACGTGGAGACCAAGCCCAACGGCCACCTGGAGGTGGCCTACATCCACGCCTCCCTTGTGCAGCCGCCCCAACCCGCTGACTGCCCCGTCGACACTGCCGGCCTCAAGTACCCCGACCACCAGCAGATTGACGATGCCTCACTGTGCCATGCTGAGTCTACTTATCAGGTGGGTCGTCGGCTAGAAGGAGTGGAATCTATGAGCTGACAATGGGAAATTGACGTCGGCATCGAAGGTTTGGGGGAATGGATCAGGACGAAGTGGGGAAGTGGAATGGCTGAGTGTAGGAGCTGTACATGATTCTTCGTGAAGTGTTGTTCCCCCCGTTTGTGTGTCAAGTTGACCTCTCAAAATCTGCCCCAGCGCTTGTTTACGGATGTCCCATCTGAGCTCTCTTCGTCCGTCGCCCTGTTGCCAGGTGAACATGGCGCTGCGGCGGGCGGCACTGGGGGCGGAGCAGCCGCTGACGCTGTCGCTGGCGGAGATGAAGGAGCTCATCTACGTGCCGCTCTACCCCTGCCCCTATGAGGAACGCATTGGCGAGTGGGGTGACGGCGGCAAGGTGCGCTCACGTTACAGATCTGTTTCTCACCTTCTTTGCAACTCTTGCTGTTATCACAATACCAAGGGCCAACAGCGTATTCTTGTGCTGTATTTACCACTGCAATAGCATCTCACCCTCAGCATCCTTTGCCAATCGTCTCTGCATCCTTGTTTTACCATGACCCGTCTGCAGTGGATCTGCATGATTCCAACGGCGTTACAGTCCAAGCCTCTCGTGTACAGGTACTCTTTCCTCACCTCGTTTGTCATTCATTGAAACTCTACCTTTGTTCCACTGGATATTGGATCGGATGGTTGCTTGCAGCTTGGACCTTATGCCCTCCATATTCTCCCTGTTTCCTGTCAACTTAGAAGTCTGTTTTTTCTATTCTTCCTGTTCTCTACTGGTTGACTACCCTGCACCAGTGTGGGGAGCAACGAGCAGTTTGCGTTTGAGCAGGGCATGGCGGAGTCGGTGCGCACCAAGGCGTTCACGTTTGACCCGTTCATCACGGCGACGCAGCAGGCGCACATGCGCTCGCTGCCCTTCCTGCACTTCCACGCCATCGGCGTGGCGGGCGAGGAGTCTCTGGCGTACTACCACAAGCAGAACCCCGACTACGACTTCAAGACGCTCGCACAGCTCATGCTCTTCCTCAACCATACCTATGTCGACGTGCTCAAGATCGACTGCGAGGGCTGCGAGGTCGCCTTTGTGCGCGACATCGCCCGCGCCTACGGCTCCGAACCTGCCACCCTCGCCAGCAAGGGCGGCGTGCTGCCCTTCGGCCAAGTGCTCATGGAACTGCACCAGTACGTTCACCTCCTTACTAATTAACCCTTCCGTCCAAACATAGCCATCTCCTTCCCTTTTTCTGTTTCTTGTGGTTTTTGTTCCTCCACAATCTCAATCTCCTGCACCCTATGCCCCTTGTCTTTCCCATCCTCTCCATCGGCTTCTTCTTTACTGCAATTGCAGCCATTCCTGTGTTACGCCTCCCCTCTCACCAGCCTTCTATTCCCTCCTCCCCTCGGCTCCCTCTCTGACTGGCATGGCAGGATCACGAACACCAAGGCGATGCTGGCGCTGCTGTACACGTTTGAGAGTCTGGGGTACCGCCTGTTCCACGTGGAGACGAACCCGCTGTGCCTCATCTGCATCGAGGTGGCCTACATCCACGACTCCCTCCTCCAGCCCGCCAACCCCCAGGCCTGCCCCAAAGCCCCCCTCAACGACCCCGCCACCCTCACCAAAATCTCAGCCACTGGTGGTGCTAAAGCCGCTCTTGCTGCTGACGTGGGCAGTGCAGAAGCAGCCAAGGATGCTCCAGCAGCAGTGAAGGAACCTGAAGGTGCACCAGCAGCAGCTGCAGCAGCATCAGAGGCAGAGGCAGGTGATGCAACATCAGGGGCCATTTCCCCTGTGACGGATGCAGGAGACGGAGACTCGGAAAAGCCTGTTGTAGGAACAGGGTTGGGAGATGCAGAGGAGAAGGTCGAGAAAGGAGAGGAGGCGGCACATTTGGGAGGCGAGACAGCAGTGCAAGGTGCTGAGGCCGGTGCTGCTGATGCAACCAGTGCTGCTGATATTACCACTCCTGCTGATACTGCCAGTGCTGCTGGTGCTGCCAGTGCAACCGCCACCACTGACGCTGCTGAGCCTGATGCAAATGCCAAGAGCCCTTTAGAGTCTGGTTCTAGCTCTGGCAGCAGCGGGTTAAATTTGTTGGATCCAGACGATGCTAGTCCTGAGTCTACTGGTAACGCCTTGAGGCTTATCAACAATGAAAGCGGCAGCAGCGGTGGAGCTAATGCAGAGGGAACCAGCAGTAGCACAGTGAGCAGCAGTAGTACGAGTAGCAGCAGTAGCAGTGACAGTAGCATAGTGGCAAGTGGGGCGACGAGTGACATTGCATGGAAGGAGCCTCTGGGGGATAGCAGCCATGTGGATGGTTCTGCTCTCTGCCACGCTGACCGCTCCTATTATGTGAGCGCCACACGCACCCATTGCACAGCCAAGCTCTGAATTCACCCATCAAGACGAACCATTTTGAAGACTTTTGCATTTACTGTAAACCTCAATGTTATGTTCTGCGTTTTATGTTTTTTTCTTACACCCTCACCTTCCTGCCCATGCTATTTCATTACCTTTTCCTTGTTATCTTCCATACTTGAATTCTTGCTGTGCTGCCTTCGTATGTGTTTTCCCCCAGGTGAACTCGCGCCTGCGCACGGTGGCGTGCAACGCATCGCAGCCGTTGATCACGAATGCGCCTGACATGCTCAACAACATCTTCGTGCCGCTCTACGCCTGCCCCTTCCAGGAACGCCTTGGGCCCTGGGGCGAAGGCGGCAAGGTCAGTCACACCTGGGAAGGGTTCCATCTGAGTTGGGCATCGTTCGTTTCTCTTCCTGTAGCTTGGCTTTACCTATTCATCCTTTCTATCACCATGATGTGTTTCCAAACCCCCTGCTCCCCCTTCACATCTCTTCCCACAGTGGGTGTGCATGGCCCCAGCTGCCTTTCAGTCAGCGCCAGTTGTTTACAGGTGTGTATCAGATACATCGCCCTCTGTTTTTATTCTTCCCTGTCCTCTCCATTCTTCCCGTTCTTTGTCGCGTTCTCTTCCTCTTACCTCCCCCCATCCTCATCGGTTCTGTGCTTTTTTTTTTTGCCCTCTCTGTCCCTTGCATCACCAGCATTCACTCCAACGCAGCGTACGGCTTTGAGCTGGCGGCGTCCATAGCGCTGCACACGCGGCCACATGTGTTCAGCTCGTCGCTGTCGGCGGAGCAGCAGGTGGCAGTGAGGGCGGTGGCGCACGTGGAGTTCCACGAGGCGGGGCTGGCGCTGGCCAAGGACGCCAAGCCCACGGACGTCTCGCTGCCCGACCTGCTGGCGGCGGCCAAGCACACCTACGTGGACGTGCTCTACCTCGCAGCGGACTGCCCCGAATGTGAGGTTGCCTTCATCCGCCAACTCAACGCCTCCTACGGCTCCAACCCCGCCTCCGGCCTCTCCCGCTCAGGAGGCCTGCTGCCCTTCGGCCAGATCATGATGCTGCTGGCAAAGTAAGTGCCGCACGCCTCATCTGTTGAGCTGTTCCCGCCTCTGCTGCTTAACCATATTTGTGACTTCTGTTTTGAAGATACGCTTCCTATTTTTTTGTTATGGAGATTTCTTCGCCCACCCATGTGTTTGTTTTTTTCCACCTGTCTTGCATCACATCATCCAGTGTCCAACAAGTGCGGCAGATGCTAGAGGTGGAGTACACGTTGGAGAATCTGGGGTACCGGTTGTTCCACGTGGAGACCAAGCCCAACGGCCACCTGGAGGTGGCCTACATCCACGCCTCCCTTGTGCAGCCGCCCCAACCCGCTGACTGCCCCGTCGACACTGCAGGCCTGAAGTACCCCGACCACCAGCAGATTGACGATGCTGCTGTGTGCCAAGCAGAATCTTCTTTCCAGGTATGCGCCACAAGGGAGTAACCTAGGTTTCCATACTACAGTGCATGGATCTGGGATCATAAGCTGCTACGTACGGAGGCCCATGCATGGAGCATAAATGAACTGGAGCATTTATGCTTTATGCTTCGTTCTACCTAGAGTCCTAATGCAGCTGTGGGGATCAGCATCAATGCCTCAGCTGTGTTACCTCACTCAAATTAAGTGGCACCACTTAATACTCTGGGGTGCCATGTGTTGCTGTGGGTCAAAGGAAGTGTATGAGGCGTAATTCCAGATCCCGAATTGGTCCAACCCCTTGGGTGCCTTGTTCATCCTGTCGACGGTGTCACCAAACGGTTGTAACCTGTGATCTCATGCTACTTGCTTTTTCCCTCTGTTGTGTGGACGCCCACAATCAGGTGAACATGGCGCTGCGGCGGGCGGCACTGGGGGCGGAGCAGCCGCTGACGCTGTCGCTGGCGGAGATGAAGGAGCTCATCTACGTGCCGCTCTACCCCTGCCCCTACGAGGAACGCATCGGCGAGTGGGGAGACGGCGGCAAGGTGCGCCCTCTCCTCAGCCTCTCTGCTAATCAACCAACTCATTTGATTTCCTTTCTATTGGAGCCCTGCCTCTTTTTACCAAATTCCTAGCCTGTTCAACCTGGTTATGCCCCTTTCCTTGACCTGACATTTGTCATTGTGGCTTTGTTGTCCTGTGAGTGCAGTGGGTGTGCATGCTCGCGTCTGCACTGCAAAAGCAGCCAATCGTCTACAGGTACCTCCTCCCTTTTCCAATGCCTACATGTGCACAATCTCAATCCCCCAAATTTCGTATGTCCCTAAACCCTGAGCCCTAAACCCGTTTTAACCCTCAGTGCATGCCCCCATCATCCCTCCCCTGCACCAGTGTGGGGAGCAACGAGCAGTTTGCGTTTGAACAGGGCATGGCGGAGTCGGTGCGCACCAAGGCGTTCACGTTTGACCCGTTCATCACGGCGACGCAGCAGGCGCACATGCGCTCGCTGCCCTTCCTGCACTTCCACGCCATCGGCGTGGCGGGCGAGGAGTCGCTGGCGTACTACCACAAGCAGAACCCCGACTACGACTTCAAGACGCTCGCACAGCTCATGCTCTTCCTCAACCACAGCTATGTCGACGTGCTCAAGATCGACTGCGAGGGCTGCGAGGTCGCCTTTGTGCGCGACATCGCCCGCGCCTACGGCTCCGAACCCGCCACCCTCGCCAGCAAGGGCGGCGTGCTGCCCTTCGGCCAAGTGCTCATGGAACTGCACCAGTACGTTCACCTTTCTCTGTTCTCCGCCCGAATCGTTTTCTTCTAGTTTTTTTCTTCTTCTTGTTCTTTTTCTTCTTCTTCTTGTGCTCATTCTTTCCCCTGAATTCCCTCTCTTGCAGTGTATGCCCCATTGCCTTTCCCACCCTCTGATTTACTCCTCATCACTACAGTTGCAACCATATGTGTGGTTAGGGCGTATCCATGTTTGGGTCATGAGCACTGTTCCGGGCATGCGCAATTTGCGGATGACCCAAACAACATAAAACGCCACTTTGGGTCCTCGGAATTCATGCGACACCCAAATTGCCGTGAGGGTTTTCGCGCCAAAATCATGCTCCCCACAACAGTCGCATCTAATGGAGGGATGCCAGAACGGTTGTCGAAAGATCATTAATGAGACCCACGCAAAACCACGCGACACCCACCGAAAAAACGCAATTGTCAAAATTTCCGGAAATGTTGGGAGCGCGACGTGGGAAATTTTAGACACACTCATGGTCACTGGGGTCAATTTGCCGAGTGGTTGGGTGCAGAGGTGTAAGTCGTGGGACATTGCCCACTTGTGACACTCGACTGACGACCGCAAAAAAGATGGCAGTACAACCAGGATCGTGCAGTGATTGGTTGGGGGTGGGTCGTGCACGTCAGTCGCCCAACACCTGCACATTGACCCAAAGCTGGGGCCGCGCGCGGCTCGGCAGCCCACTTCGGGTCATGCGCAAATTCCGCATGACCCAAACAGTAGCCAGAACAGTGCTCATGACCCGAACATGGATACGCCCTTATTAGCCGTCTCCTCTCTGGCTCTCATTTCCCGCATTACCCCCTTCCCCCCCTCCGTCCCTGACTGGCATGGCAGGATCACGAACACCAAGGCGATGCTGGCGCTGCTGTACACGTTTGAGAGTCTGGGGTACCGTCTGTTCCACGTGGAGACGAACCCGCTGTGCCTCATCTGCATCGAGGTGGCCTACATCCACGATTCCCTCCTCCAGCCCGCCAACCCCCAGGCCTGCCCCAAAGCCCCCCTCAACGACCCCGCCACCCTCACCAAAATCTCAGCCACTGGTGGTGGAGGTGGTTCTGCTGCTGTTGCTGATGTCTCAGCCAATGTCGACTTGCCGGCTGCTGGTGAAGGTGCTGCAATGGGTGCTTCGGAGTCCACAACAGAAAGTGAAACAATCTGAGGCTGTGCCAAACTGTGATGGACAGGGCTTAGAACTATTTATATTTGTGCATGAATTTCCAAGGCAAAGGATGTAATGTTTAGTAGTCAGCCACTGTTACAATGTTGTAGGGCAAAGGCCAAGTAGGTTCTTTCTGTGGTTGTGGTAATAAGTCCTGAAACACCACTCTCATGGTGTAGCTTTCGCCGGGTGGTAACAATCTTTTTGTTTGCGATGTGTTTTTGTTCCCTCACCTCGCCTTCCCTCATTCACCTCGGCGCTGCACACCGCATCTCCTCTATTCGTTATTGTCACAGATGCACCGCGCTCACTTGCTTGTTTGTTTGCTCATCTGAAGTTCCAACCCAACGTCACTCGCGCAATGAAATCTAGGATCATTCACTTCTAGCGATCAGCCAGCAGCCCAGACAAATCGGCATTAGCTGCGAAAATTGTCGTGTCGTGGCCCGTTGTTCGGTTTGATGATAGTCCGCTTTCATCATACGCACGTTTAGCGCCTCTCTCCCACTTGCGCGTTTCTAGTGGACTCCCCGTGTCGATTCATCATCCTTCCGGAGGGACCTCTCCGGTAACCTACGCTTTCGCCCCTCTGCGCCCAGCGCCACCGTGTCGTGTCAACATCCCGCGCTTAAATTTCAAACCGGCTGAGCCCCACAGCAATCCGTGGCCTCCACGAGCGCCACGTGTCAGCACGATATCTCGCTCCTCGGAATCGCGGCAGCATGGTGAAAGTGACCATGATAGCGCGAGCCACGGACGGCCTGCCTCTGGCGGAGGGGCTGGACGACGGGCGGGAACAGCGGGAGGTGGAGGTGTACAAGCAGCAGGCCAAGTCGCTCTTCAAGCGCCTGTCGCAGGGCCTACCGCAGGCGTCGCGCATGTCCATCGAGACTGGCCCTTACTTCTTCCAGTACGCCGCTGTTCCCCGCCTCTCGCGATCACTTTCCTCCGCCCGCGCTTTGCGCTCTCGCGTGGTGGTGCTCGGGGGAATTTGTGCTACCTGCGCGATAGACCCTCCCGAATCTTCCTCCTTGCTCATCCGTCCCTGTTCCCTTCCCCGCTTCTTCACAACCCCCCTCCTCATCCCCTTCCCCCGCTGCCCCCCGTTTCCCCAACGTACCCCTTCTGTGCCACCGCGTCCCTCCTCTCTCCTCTGACAGCTACATAGTGGAGGGCGGCGTGTGCTATCTGACGCTGTGCGAGCGGTCGTATCCGAAGAAGCTGGCGTTCCAGTACCTGGAGGAGCTGCAGCGCGAGTTCGAAAAGGTCAACCGCTCGCAGATCGAGACCGTCGCGCGCCCCTACTACTTCATCAAGTTCGGTGCGTGTGTGGGAAGGGGGAGGGGGGGGGGGGGGGCGGGCGGGGGGGACGCGGGGCTGGGCGCGCGGAATGGGGGGCGCGTGGCGGAGGGGGCGTGGGGAGGGGGCGCCCAGTAGGGCATGAGAGGGGAGAGGGGCGTGGGGAGTGTGGCAATGCGTGTGCGACAGGGGTCTTCAGGGCTCATTGCATCAACACAACTGTCCTTTCGCTTCTGTAAAGCGCTCAGAAAGTGGATGTCATGTATGGGTGCACTTGCACTTCCTTCTCATCGCCTTCCCTCTTCTTCCTCTCCACAATTTCTCCCCCCTTCCCTTCCCCTCCTCCTCACTCCCCGCCCCCTTCTCTCCCACCTCCTTTCCCCCATCTCTTAAGCCATCCTGTCTTCTGTTGCCTATCCCCCACCCTCCCGAGCAGACACGTTTATTCAGAAGACGCGCAAGCAGTACCTGGACACGCACACGCAGCGCAACATCGACCGGCTGAACGATGATCTCATAGAGGTGCAGCAGATCATGACTCGCAACATCCAAGACGTGCTCGGCACCGGGGAGAAACTCGACCGTATGTCACCCTGCTGCTTTGCCCACACGCCCCCTTTGCCCTCACGCCCCCTTTGCCCTCACACCCCCTTTTGCCCTCACACCCCCTTTTGCCCTCATACCCCCTTTGCCCACACACACTTTCGTCCACCCACACCGCTTCTGCCCATACACCCCACTTTTGCTCACTCACCCTCTTTCTCCTGGACATATTTGTTGTACCTCCTCATGGTAATCTCATCTCCACCAACACGCATGCACCCCCATGCTCTCCACACCCACCGCGCCTCCCCCACCCCCCCACGCCCCTTCCCCCCTCCAACCCCCTCTCCTCTCCCCCCCAACCTCCCCAGATCTGACGCAAGTGTCCAGCCGGCTATCTACAGAGTCCAGCGCATACGCCAAGAAGGCCAAGCAACTCAGCCAACAGGTGCGCAGGGGGCTTCCATATTCCAGTGTCCTGCCCTCTTTTCACGCCCACGTTGCTCTTTCACTCCTTTCACTCCCCGCTTCTGTGTCACTGCGACTCACATTTTCCGACATTTGTGCACAAGCGCACATACACGAACATGGACACACAAGCACTCAGTTTCTTGGCTGCTCGTTCTCTCAGCTCTGCCATACACCCCTGCCCTGCGCATGCATGTGTGATTGTTACGACTGTCCCTGCAGGCTCTTTTGAGAAAATGGGCGCCCATTGCCATCTTAGTGCTCGTGGTCGTCATGGTCTTCTATGCCCGCCGCCTCTTCTACTCGTGATCCCGCCCGTACCGTATTTGTGATTCGTGCGTCATGAACCTTGAGCTGCCAACACACACCAGCAGCACAGCCGCGGTCACAGCTGGGGCCTGCTTGTTCCACGTCACTGGGTACCTTGTGCAACGTAGTTCTGTTCTGTATAACCTATTCAACATGTGCTGCAAGGAAATTTTCAATGATCTGTTGAAAGAACTACAGTACATGATAATTAGTTGCGCACTAGATGTTTGGTGGGTTCCGTTCTGTACTACATAGCCAGGCCTCCTAGCAGTCATATTCTTGGTATACAGGTAAGTGCACACAAACAGAACAGCCACTAATCACAAGCTCATTGCAGTGCTTGTGCTTGAAGCACGAAACGAAATGGCAGCAGATGACACTAACGTGCCACCTGCTAGCTACCATAACAGCAGGCAATAGGGCTGCTGTTTCAGTATGCCTCCAACACAACCTGCTAGCACACAGCGCAGCTCAGCTCAGCACAGACATCACAGCACGCAGTCCTGGAGTCATTCGAGACATGCGTACAGGAAGCTTCATCCGGCGGCTAGCGGTGCAGCAAGCAGTCGGGGTGCATCAAGTCCCCGCAGTCCCGGGCAGTGCACTTCCACGCCATGCCACGGCCCAGTGCGAGGCACTGCGCACACGTGTACGTGCCCTTCTGCCGCAGCCGCAACACGTGCGTTGGCTTGCGTGGGTCCCGCACACCCACCTGCACAGGTTGGTTGGTGCATGCAAGACGCAAGACAATAGACGCCATAGTAGTTGGTTCAAGGAAATTTGAGAGAGAGAGAGCGAGAGAGAGAGAGAGAGAGAGAGAGAGAGAGAGAGAGAGAGAGAGAGAGAGAGAGAGAGAGAGAGAGAGAGAGAGAGAGAGAAGAGAGAGAGAGAGAGAGAGAGAGAGAGAGAGAGAGAGAGAGAGCGAGAGAGAGAGAGAGGGAGAGAGAGAGGGAGAGAGAGAGAGAGAGAGAGAGAGAGAGAGAGAGAGAGAGAGAGAGAGAGAGAGAGAGAGAGAGAGAGAGAGAGAGAGAGAGAAAGAAAGAAAGAAAGAAAGAAAGAAGAAAGAAAGAAAGAAAAACCGCACACGAGGTGATTGATCTGCACACATGTTGATGCCCACACAAGGGGTCAACGTGGAAAATAGATGAGAACCTGGAAATGTTCTATGCAGAAAAAAAGGGCAGAAATGTGATCGTTTGGGCGTGTTCCTACGCCTCATATCAGGCAAATCTCAAATCAGGCTCGCACTGAAATTCCCCTATACCCCAAACCCTTTGCACATTTTATCAGGCAAGTCTGATATGAGGCTCGCTTGATATGAGGCGTGGGAACACGCCCTTAGTAGATGTGGTATGAATGCATACACTGGCAGGCAGGGAGGGGATGTGCAAAAGTTGGGGTGCATGGATGGCTGCATGGAGTATGTATGTCTGCATGGAGTATGTATGGCTGCATGGAGTATGTATGGCTGCATGGAGTATGTATGGCTGCATGGGGTATGTATGGCTGCATGGGGTATGTATGGCTGCATGGGGTATGGATGGTTGCATGGAGTAACTATGATTACCTTGTTCAAGGCTTCCAGCAGTGAGCATCGATCGCGCTCCCATGTCAAGTGGTGTGACCGAACCTCCTCCTGATCCCGCCCACCAAAGCAACAGATTGTTGGGAACGGGAAGGGGAGAGGAGGGCTTGGAGGGTAAAGAGACAAGCAGAGTGAGAGTGGCTGTCCAGGGAGGAGAAAGAGAGAAGAGCACTGTACCAACAGGGTTGGTCAGTCGGGGAGATGGGAGGGAAGCACTGCTGTGGTGTGAAATGGTGTGAATTGGTGTGCATTGGTGTGCATTGGTGTGAATTGGTGTGCACTGGTGTGCATTGGTGTGCATTGGTGTGCACTGGTGTGCATTGGTGTGCACTGGTGTGCATTGGTGTGCACTGGTGTGCATTGGTGTGCATTGGTGTGAATTAGCTTACCCATGAGCCCACATACCCCCTTGGAGCAGCAACAACTCACCAGCTGCTGCTGTAGCGCCTCTTTGGCTGCCTTGTTTGAGGCCAGCTCTGCTGATAGCTGCATTCGCGCGGAAGGGGGGTTTGGTTTGAAGGGGACGGGGGGGGGGGGGGGGGGGGGGGGGGGGGGTAGGAAGGAGGGATTGGGGTTGTGTGGGGTTGCGTTTAGGTCACCAAAGCAGGCAGTCACACACCCAACACCAACCCTCTCTTCAACACGCAGCACCAACACCAACAGCAGCACAAGCACGAGCACAAGCACGGGCACAAGCACAATCACAATCACAATCACAATCACAATCACAATCACAATCAGAAGCACAATCAGAAGCACAATCAGAAGCACAATCAGAAGCACAATCAGAAGCACAATCAGAAGCACAATCAGAAGCACAATCAGAAGCACGAGCACAAACACAAGCACGAGCAGCACACACACAGAAGCCTCTTCTCCTCCTCCCACACCCACCTGCACCTCCCTTTCCTTCATCTGCGCCTCAGCAGCAGCCATGGCGGCCTGCAGCTGCTGCAGCTGCTGCTCCGCTTGCCCCTTCTCCGCCACCTGCTGCTCCAGCTGCGCCACCTTGCTGCGCTGCTCCTCCAGCGTCTCCAGATACAGCCGGCTTGATGAGTGCTCCGCCTGCCCCGTGGGCGGGGGGGGGGAGGAAGGGGCGTGATGAGGTGAGGGGAAAGAGGGAGGGGGGAGGAAACGGGAGAGTAACGGGGCTGCGAGCACTCGGGGAGCACAACAGAGGTGTGAGTGAAGAGCGGACATGGTGAGGAGATGTTTGGGGTGAACAGAAAGGGTGTCGTACGGTGGTAGATGAAACCAAGAACAGACATGAAAATGACTTCTTTCTGCTCATGTCCCACGCTACCACTGTCCATGTGTCTCACAGTCCCTCACTCCGCTCTGACATCTAATTCTCCAAAGGCCAGCATCCTCTTGGTCCCATTCCTTCCATCTCGCCCCAGCTTCCTCCCTTTTCGACCTCCCCCGCCCACCTCAGTGATCTGGCGTTGCATGTGCACCAGGCTCTGCCGCATCTTGAACGCCTGCTGCTCCATCGCCTCTACATCCCCCTGCACCGCCTCGCGCCGCTGCTCACTCTCCTCCAACCGCCGCTCCACCTCCTCCCTCTCCTGCCGCTCGTCTGCCAGGCGCAGCTTCATGTCCTGTACCTCCTCCTCCTTCTGCCGTGGGGGAGACGAGCCCGCAACGGATGGAAGAGAGGCGGAAGGCCGTTGGATTGATGAGACGATCGATGGACCAGTCCAGGGGATAGCTGTACGTGTGCAGCGTGCGCCTGCTGCTCATTCTGCAATGGAGCAGGAGAATCCTGGAGTATGGGGAAAGGGAGGACGAGGAAAGCTGGTGGAAGCGACAGGTGAGTGAGTGAGGGGCGAGTGAGTGAGAAGCGAGTGAGTGAGAAAGGAGTGAGTGAGAAACGAGTGAGTGAGAAGCGGAGGTGAGGTTGAAGGCAACAAGGGTGGTGAGGTGCAAGGACAGTTCGATAAGGAGAAGGGTGGTGCGTTGCGTTGTGCGTGCATGCATGCGTGCATGTGCGTGTGAGGGGTGGCAAGCTCCGCAATACAAGCACGAGGAGCGGGCCGCAAGTGGGGGGCGAGCAGGGAGGGGACCTGCGCCATGTGGGCGTGGATGAGGTTCTTCTCCTGGTCGAACTGCATCGCCAACATGTCCTGATGCCCGCACCCGGGGGGCGCAGAGGGGCACAGGGGGTCACAAAGGGGCACAGAGGGGCACATAGGGGCACATGGGGAGACAAAGGGGCACAGGGGGAGCACAGGAGGGGCACAGGAGGGCAAGGGAGGGAGGCGGGGGAAAAGGAAAAGAACAGAGGTGGATGAGACAAGAGCAGAATGGGTGGTGCAGGCGGGATGACTTTTGAGTCAACTCAAAAGTCAACTTGGATGAGACAAGAGCAGAATGGGTGGTGCAGGCGAGATGACTTTAGAGTCGACTCAAAAGTCAACTTGGATGAGACAAGAGCAGAATGGGTGGTGCAGGCGGGATCTAGTGAGCAGGAGAGTGAGAAGGCAGAGCAACGGGTGCAGTGCGGCCTTTGAACGGGCAAACAACGCCTGCCTGCGAGCCTTCTTTGCTCAACACATGCATCCCCCGTGCTACTACTTCGCAATCTTTACCCAAGCCTTGGTCCCTCTCACCCTCCCCTCTCACCCTCCCCTTTCACCCTCCCCGCCTACCCTCCCCTCCCACCCTCCCACCCTCCCACCCTCCCCCCTCCCGGACACGCCAGCTTACAAGCTGCTGCAGGAGCATGTTGTTCTCCCCACGCACATGCTCCACCTCCGCCTGCATCGCACTGTTGCCCACCGCCTCTGCCTCCTGCCATGCCATGCCATGCGTGCCATGCCATGCCATGCCATGTCATACCAAGCCATGCCATGCCATGCGTACCACGCCATGCGTACCATGCCATGCGATACCATGTCGTACCATGCCATACCATGCCATGTCATGCACTACGTGCCATTCGCCATTCGTCATGCGCCAAGTACCACGCGCAACCACACACAGCACACACCAACCAGCATAAGCGGGCCGGGCATGCAGCAGGGGCGATTGGGACGGTTCAAGGAGGATTCAGGACTTGGAGCCAGCATGCACGCACGCATGGGAGCTGGGCACACTCCAAGTGCACTGTATGACAATGCAGGGGCTTTCGCTGGCAGATGCGGGATTGGGTGCTGAGGGATTTGTCGGCACACAGCGTCACGAGCACAGCACAGCACAGCACGGTGGTAATCGGCATGTGTGCGGGCATGTGTGCGGGCATGTGTGCAGGCATGCGTGCAGGCATGTGTGCGGGCATGTGTGCGGGCATGTGTGCGGGCATGTGTGCGGGCATGTGTGCGGGCATGTGTGCGGGCATGTGTGCGGGCATGTGTGCGGGCATGTGTGCGGGCATGTGTGCGGGCATGTGTGCGGACATGTGTGCGGCCATGTG